TTAGAGGCATTATGGTTATTGTACTATGTTGCATCGTGTCTCATTTTTATTTAAAAATTAGGGGAATGTAAATTTTAGTTATAATTCTCCCAATGTCTTTATCCAGAAGCCTGTTGTCATTTTTGTCTTTTAAAAAATGTTGGCCCTGTGAAAAGTAAAATTACATTTCTATTCTTTTAATTTGGTTTATTATATTCTTGGTTATCAAAATAGTCATGGTTTTGAGACCTCAAATTGGAAAATATTCATGATGTATGAAAAAGCATTATTAATACTGTATGACCTCAACCATATTTAAAAATGTATGCTCAGTCATGTGTAGACATACATAACTAGAACTCAAACTATACACTGTTTATGATTATAGATCTTTTTGTGTTACTTCTTGTGTTATTTAATTTTTGATAATGTGCATTAAAATGTTAAAAGTTGGAAAATAAATGTTATTTAAAAATAGTATTTCTCCCCTCACAGTCTAGTAGGAGAGATATACATATATACAACTTAAACTAAAATATAGCATATGTGTGTTTGAAGCTTCATACCTTTGTTAGTAACAGTTGAGGCTGTCACCCCCACAACGCACTAAAAGCACTGTATCTTGCCTAGCCAAGAGCTCAGGACAGCTGCCCTGTTTTAGCAGAACCAAGGGACTGCTGAATTTGGCACAATTGAGGGTAAACATTGAATGAGTTTATCCTAACCCTCTGTGTGTGGTAATACGGCCCACAGAGTCTTTTTGAAATGTGATACCCACATCCCCAGCCCCATCTTATAAAAGTTACAACTACAGAAAAGAATCACAATGACGGGTTACAAAGTGATGCTACTTTTGCCAAATAGTCCTTTCTCCTGCCTGGCATCATGGTTTGAAGAGGATCCAACTTCAATTTTGCAAAATATAGCTATTAATGTAGCAGTTGAAGTATTTGGCCTGTGCATGAATTCCATTGAAGGAAGCCAAATAAGATGTCTGTGTAAGTGCAGTAGAGAGTAACTTTGCTACTTCAACTTGAGTCTTACTAAGAAATTATGCTTCTTTCAAGGGGTAGTCTATTTGTTGGTATTTCTATAAAACAATTTTTCCTCAAATTTATGAAATTCAATTTAAAAACCCCACCATGATTAGACATTAATTAGAGTAATTGGTAAAAAGTCACAAAATCTTGTCACAAAATAAATATGAAAACTTAATTTCAATGAAAGTAAAATTCCAAAACATTAACATTTTTCAAAAAAACCCCACAAAAATGAAAGATCAAATTATGTATTTTATTTAAAAAAACCTTAAAGATATTAATTTTAATCTAATATTTTAATATAGTTATCTGTGATTTTATTAATTTCTTATTCTAGTAAAATTTTGAATTCTTTATACCATTTTTTACAGCTAAAATATTACTTTATACTTTAATTATCATGTGCATAAATATGTGATCTTAAATCCAAAATCAAAATTCTGTTATCTTTAACAATAACAAATATATGATAACTTGATAAAAAAAAAAGTTTAATGATACAACTTATTGTAGTATAATTTTAATGTTTTCTATTATATTTAATTTTAAATTTTATAACTCTTTTAGGCACTTTAAAACATAAATCCAGTATACATGTATACATATCAACTAAGCATAAATCTCCTAAAATTATTCTCAGTACATCTGCCCATTATAGTGTATGTTGACATATTAATGTTCAGTACAAATTTGTAAACATGAACATTTGATACTTTGAAAAGTAATGATACTGGTCTTTTTTCTCTCAATATTTTATTGAAACAGCATGTCAAAAGTTGGCCAGCACCACACATGTAAATAGTTTTAATACTATATATGTTTCAAATGTTCTATATCTATATTTGTTGTTTTATGTTGTCACTCAAACCATGTTTATTTTCATAGTTTTAATACAAATTATCATTTAATTGCAGAGCAAACTTAAGAATATTAAATGTATACAAGACAATTATATCAAAGCAATTGCCATCAATGACTAAGCTATGTATTTGGTTTGTTTTAAACTGCTCCAATAAACATGTTAAATTCTAGTGAAATTAACTGGTAAACTGTTCTCATATATTAGAATATTATTGTTATTTTGGCTAAATAAAGATTTTTCACCACGAAGGCAACATATCTCTAAATTGGAGTAAAAACATTGTATTTCCACCCTGTCAATCAAATTCACAAATATAGTACATGCAATTAGGCATTTTTAGTTATATTTAAATCTGCTTTTCATAAGTATATATCATTAATAGTATAAGTATGCAATGAATAGGTATTCTTTGTGGCATCTCTTTTTTATTATTGGAGGGAGAAAAAGGAATGTAGTATAAGCTATTTTAAAACAAAACTAAAATAAAACCCCACTGGTTATATAAATTACAGTGTAACATCTACAATTTATCAAATTACATATTCAGATAAGGAAAATATTTGTTATTGATATTTAGTAAGGAGATAATAACTATATATTACATGGTATATGTGAACGTCTAACGTTATTGTTTCAAAGCATCTAAATTTGTCTCTTTTTCTGGTTTTCTTTTTTATTAAATTTATTGGATGACATTGGTTAATAAAATTATATAGGTTTTAAGTATCATTAGCATGTTTGTAGATTTTTGTAAAATATGTTTTAAATATTTATATAAAATATTTATTTTAGTCATGTTCTGGGTTAGCGTTACACCAGTAACACTTAAGACACATTATCTGCTTTATGCGCACCATGATTTTCCCCAAGATGCATAATATCTATGATTAGGAGAATGAAAGTTAAATCTTCCGTAATGTCCAATACAGATGCTTGTCTTTATTTGTTGTTGGCACATTGTCAAATTGTCAGCACATAGATCTCTGATTATTCAAAGAGTAATTCATTGACTCATAACATGCTGATTCTAATTGTTCATTTCTTTTCATGTCATAGACATGCTCCAAACTCCTAAAAGAAGAATGAAGTCATGTCCATTCCCAAATCAAAAGTAGAACCCATGCCTAATAGCAGTGAAATATCATAAATATTTACCTTCGTAATTGGGGGGAAATATCAATCATTATTTTTGTAGTACAGTGAATAGGAGCAATTATATTAATGTTTGAAGACTCTAATATTATATAATCTAAAGTTATATATTAGACTTTCAAATGTAATATCCAAAGGGCATAGTCCTTCTATTTAGTGAAAAGAAATGATAGTTTTGATGTTATAAAGTTATATTTTGGTTGTTAAAATATAATGACTATTTATCCATTTAGGCAAGTGATCTGCAACAAGGCTCAAACTTGAAATCAAATCCCTGATTTCAGTTTGGCTGACTGTTCCACAAAATAGAAACTTCCTGACAAGGGAATTTTACTACAGGTCTGAGCTTGACTGAAGGTTGTGCAAAGATAAAGTACGTTTACTTATTTCCTGACTCAATGTACAGATTTTACACAGTTGATGGAAAGTTTATTTTTCCTAGCTTTATTTTTGGATATGAGATTTTCTGCTTTAAAAAATCAATTTATTTTAGCAGTAAAAGTTAGCCTACAGCTTTCCTGTTTTGGAATAGACAGTAATAAAGTACACTTGCTACTTTAATCTCTGATTTAAAAATCTGGGTAGTACAGGTTTCTGCCTCAAAAAACATTTATAACAGATACCTAATTAGTTTGGGCCATAAATAATATTTCATCTTGACTAGAATGCTCAGTTTGAGTATAACCATGTGCTGTTCTATTGCTACCCCCAGAATTGAAGGGGCATATAATTTTAATGCATATACTGGAAGGCATATTTATAAGGCACATTTAAAGGGAAATAACCATTTTGAGCAAAATAAATAATATTGATACGTTCTTCTTAATGTGTGTCAGAAAAGTTAGAAAGAGCAGTTTAACAGTTTGGTTAATTTGTCAAAAGTTAAATCATGCCATTGTGATATGGAAAGCCTTGGCCTAACAAATGGTAGAGCTAGTAGCATAAAAATTAAAATCTGATTCATCTTAAAGGTATACAGGTTCTATACAGATGAGATTTCTATTTTTACAGAAAATTTAGGACCAGGTAAAAGGAAACTTTTCAACTTCATAAACTAAAATAAAGTCTCATTTATGCTACCTTTGTCTGGTCTAATTTACTGTGATTATTGCACAGGAGTGGAATTAAATCGTACCAATGTAATAATATTTTCATATTTATGAACTCAAGTACTTTCTTCCCCTTCAAATCTCCATTTCTTAGTCTTTTTGGAGAACTACAGTAATTTGTTTTTGCAAACCATGCATAAAATATCAGGTTTGTTAAAAAAAATAAGTAAACAAGTTTGACCTAGGACCGATTCAAAAATAAAAGGAAATAAAAGATTGAATTTATTTAAAATATTTTGCTTTTTATTTAATCTTTGTTTTCCTTCCAGATTGAACAGTCTTTAGGCTTCAAGGATTAACATTTGAAAGTCTGTGTCCTTTATTTGTACCTTAAAATTGAGATTAGTAGCTCCTTCACCTGCAGGGTATAAAAGTATAAGGCAATTGAACAATGAAATTTTCTCCTACAATTACTAGATAGATAATTACAATGAAGCCAATATTCATAGATAAAAATAAATTGTTTCACTGCTTTCACAGGGATTAAGTCCATCTTCTTTTGGTAATTGTCAATATGTCAGAGGTAGTTGACATGGTACACTGGCTTCAACTATAATTAGAGATTTTGTCACCTAGAGTCAATTTTCACTAGTAGTCTATTCCATCAAATAACATTTATTGAGTATCTTATTTGAGGCCCAAGGTCACTGTAATCAGAAACTGTTATGTCTTATTTTTTATAAGTCAAAAATGACTGTAACTTCTCATGAACATTTGATAAAGCACTTTAAATACATAACAGAGAAATAGCCTCTGATAATGAAGCTTTTTAAGCCCAATAGCTCTTGACTTTTCTTTGGCTACAAATAAAGAAAATATGTGCTCACTTCTAATTGTTTCAGGAATGTGACTATTTCGTTAAAGACAATGATTAATTGTTGGATACCAATGAGTATGATTGCATTTGCCTTCTCTAAAAGAAACTTGACTGCTGTCATTCACTTTGAGATTACTGGAAGCATTTACCAGTCTAGATGGCACAGAAAACTTGTACCTATAAAAGCCAAAGGAAGGATGGAAAGAGCAACCAATTGCTTCCTGGGGAATGGGGTTTGGTGATAAAATATTTCCAGATTCCTGTGATCCATACATTTGATTAGAAGAATTAGGTGCTTGTAAACACTGCCCACTGAAGTCTGTAGATAAACCATTTTTTGAATTGGTGACTCCCAGGGATAACATGGGAACTTCCATCATGAGTGGGTTTAAGGACTGAGAACTGCTGCTGCTTGCTAGCTTTTCAGGAGCAGGGAAGACAAGAGGCTGCTGTCGCCAAAATTTAGTTGGACAAATCTTGTAGCAAAGGGGAAGATTGATATTGTGCAGGTACACCTCTGGACTAGGTATTCCAAGGGAGCTTGTAGGTAAGTGAAATGTAGATGGGGAACAAGGTGGAGAAAGCAAGGAGTTCAAAGGAGAGGCAGCCCCTCCACTAGAGGTCACTGGAGATGAGCCACTGCTTCCACCTGTGAATGACAATTCAGTCAATGAACAATGAACTTGATGTTTTCACTGAATCAGTAATCATGTCTACACTATCTCCGCTTCATTCTTAGATTAGCTTCCCTTGCATGTTCACAGTTCTTTTAACTTCTTTGGGAAAGAATATGCTAATTCTTCCGACCAAAGTTGAATATGGTATCCCTGCTATTACCATTACTTTTAGCCCTACTATTAGGCATAATGTATTGAGCATTCACTATGCTCAAGAACTGCGCTAGGCATATGAACAACATTTATCTAATGAATTACAAAAAAGCCCAATTAAATATGGCCTAGAGCCACTTATATGTTACAAATAAAAACTCGTTTTTTAAAACTTTTAAAAAAATTACTAAAATTCTTGATTAAATTGAACAAATTGGTTATTTGGGATTCTATAGAAAGCTTCAGTTTGATTAAAAAAATAAGTGCACATGAAAGTGATCTTTACAAATTAAAATATATTTAAACATGTTAGATTTTTTTTCTTATATTAAAAGGGAGGCTTCCATGGTGCACTACATCAGGAGTTAAAGACAGTTTTGCTGGTTAAAAATATCAAGATAAAAATGAAAGTGTTCATATCAATGTTGTTAGGTGATCTGTTATAGTTGCCTAGCATCTGCTAAAGTTAGAGATAATTATAAAGTCCATGAAAATTTAGAATCTGAACCTTAATTTTGTAAGCGTTTGAATTAAAAATGTTGATTATTGACTGAACTTGATCAAGTTGTTGATTTCTTTTTTTGGTTTTGCTGTTGTTTTTCTATTTTGTGGAAAAGGACCTAGTCTTTCTTTATCAACAGGGTGGCAAATACTTTTTATAATTAAACATTAAAAATTACTTTAAAAGATTGGTACTCGTTTTCTTTGCTATTTGAGAGCATTCTGGACATCTTAAATAATTAAGAAAAATGTGAATTTTAAATTATTAATTAATGATCATCTTTTTCTTTTTTTTTCCTTTTTTAGTACACTTTGTGTCAACTTGGATGTTTTAAAAATATGACACCTAGATGCTATTAAAATGATACTATCAAATAAGTGTTCATATTTTTTATGCAGTTCTTTAGACCAAATTAATATAGTCAATCCAGTGAACATTTTACCAAATAATTAGACTTCATCTCTTCACATTTCAATTGGTTATTATGGTATTGTGTAAAACTCAACCTAACTGTAATGTTGATGATTTCCTCAAGGTAGTTGTAATCTTGAATTAATGTTCAAAGACAAACAATTTTAATAGAATGAAGACAAAAGGGGTAAAATAATTCCATGTTGCTTGCAAATAAACTCTTCTATATATTGTTAAATATCAGAGTAAATAAAGGTATACATTCTTCTATCAGAAAGACTGCATTGTCAATTATGGTTATTATTTAATCATGTAATGTCCTACCTGGGAACAAACATTTTGTAAATGTTTTAAATGCTTGTGGTAATTAACTGTGGTGGTTTGGTATTGTTTTCAACATTTATTTTCCCTACTCACAACAAAAGGAAAATTAGAGCTAAGTAATGGTGAAAAATTAAATTAATTTAATTTAACGGAAGTCAACTTATGTGCTGAATGTTTCTCATAAAACACAAAATATTTAATTATATATCTAACATATTTTCAAATAAATCTACAAATGCATCACAGGCAGATTCTAAAGAATACGAATAGTGAGATGCTAAAGAATCTAGGTAAAATCTGGAGATCTCAGGATTACAATAACTCAAGAAGTCAGAAGACAGTAAATCTACCAATACTATCTCTCTGCTCTTTTTCTTCATGCCAGTTCACCTTCCTTTTTGCCTCTTATAGCTTCATCAAGATAAATATATACCCACTACCTTGTAAACGCACAATTTCTGACATATACTTATCCCCTTGTGTAGTATTTGTTACAAAGGCTCTGTCTGTAGTTATTTCATTAACATTTAAAATAAAAATTAATAAAACTTTTCTTACTTTGTGTGTCTGCACCAAACATTTTAAAATCCAGAGTGAGAGAAGGCCTCCATGGGTAGGTCTCTAAAAGCCCTTCCAATATACACCTGAAAAAGAGATTCACTCTTCAATAAGTCCAGAATGCAAATCTTGAAAATAATGATTTATGTACACTTTTGAGTTATTTTCTTATGGTTTTTAGGGGTGAATATCTGAAATCTCTCTCTTTTATAGCTGGTCTTGTGAATTAAATCCAGAGTAATTGCTCCCTGAATAAAAAACCCAGGAAATTAGAATAAGCATTATATTCAAAGTGAGTAGGGGAAGAATTGAGACGAGGCAAGATTTCGGAGACAAAATATCTATTAGCTACAAAATTTAGGACTTCTGAGTCTCTGAGCCATAGTTTTCTTATTGTAATACTTGTGAAAAGGGCTATGTAAATATTAGATATGATTGCTTACCTGTTTTTTCCAGGATCTCTAAATCCTTTAGCAAAAGGATTCCTGTCTATTTTCAGTTTGGTAATCTATGAATTCAAAAGAGAGAAAGATAAAATCAGTGTCCTCAATAATAATATTGTCACCATTGCTTTCAATGGTTACAAAAACCATGAAATACTTTAATGTGTAATATGGCATGGTAAATAAATGTAAGCATATTTTTAAGTCAGCTTTAGAATAGTTATCATCTTTATCTCCTTGCACATTTTTTTTAAAACACAAGATGCAAACAATTCATAATCAAATTTGCCTTGATGACAATGCAATAAGACTATGTTCTTTCTTTTTTTCTCATTCTTTCTTTCTTTCTTTCTTCCTTTCTTTCTTTCTTCCTTTCTTTCTTCCTTTCTTTCTTTCTTTCTTTCTTTCTTCCTTCCTTCCTTCCTTCCTTCCTTTCCTTCCTTTCCTTCCTTTCCTTCCTTTCCTTCCTTTCCTTCCTTTCCTTCCTTTCTTGTAATGTGTTTGGAATCAGGGTAATGGTGGCCTCATGAATGGTGTTAGGGAGCCTTCCCTCTTCTTGAAAATTTTGGAATAGTTTGAGAAAATGAGTGTTGTTTCATCTTTGAACGTTTAGTAAAATTTGCCTATGACTCTCTCTCTCTCTCTGTCTCTCTCTCTCTCCTTCTTTCTTTCTTTCTTTTCTTTCTTGGAAAATTCAATCCATATACTGTAGCTTGTCTCTATCCCGTAAGTCTCTCTGGGGCCATCTCTGCTTGCCTGGGACCTAGTTAGCTTTACCTGCTGGTTTTGGTAAGCTGTTACTGTGGTGAACTCAGTTTCTTTAAAGGAGAATGTTTTAACCCCTTCAGCGGGCAGGGACTGAATCCGGCACAGGTCAATCCTGCTGTCTTGCTCCATCACGTGAACACGGGGCTTGTACTTGTGCATGGACTGCAAAATAATCTGGAGGAGAAATTGTCAAATGCTGCCTAGAAATTGGCTTCCCTTCCCTGATACTGTCCCCCTCTCACTAACATCCCCTTCCTGCCCACACACAAAAGTGAAACTAAACCAGAAAGGCTAGGCTAGCCACATAGGAGGACTTTTCTGTGCTATTTTGCCCCAGACAGAGGCCCTCAGGGCAAAGGGCACCACAACAACACTAGGCCCAGATGGGGCTCTTTCTTACTTCCAAATGTGGGTGACTATGTGATGTCTCCAAATGTCACCGGGATCTGACTGCCTGCCATAAGTTCCCTGGGCTTATGGTAACCTGACATTTCCCACCTGCTAATTTCTGGAGACTACCTCCTTGCGTGGCTCGGATTCGGCCAGGCTGGGCAAGGCAGGAGCAGTGGTGCACCTAGGCAGAAGACTCAAGATGGAGGTGACTTGTAAAGGCTATCCATGGGGGCAGGTTGGAGAGGAGATTTCCTACACATCATTCCACACAGAATGTGCCAACTACGGGAAAGCAATCAGAGCCCATAGTGATTGCCACGTAGGTTGAGGTGCCAGAGGGCTCTTTGTAGGGTTCTCTTCCACTCTCCCAGATCAGGCGTCCTGGCTTAAACAAGTGTCATTTGGTCCTCACACTCCCTTAGCTCACCATCCCCAAACTGCAGCACAGCACTCTCAGCCTCCAAACAAAGGCCACAAGAGCTACGTTTATCACAGTCCCAGAAGTTAGACAGTTCTTAAAGATCACAATTAGCTCATCTGCAAGAAGCCTCCTTGGCATCTCCAGGGTGACCTGCAGGCTGAGGCCTTAGTATCTCTCTCCCTTTCTTGGAGCAAATGATTGCGCACACTTACTTGGCCTTTGTCATCCATTTCGTTGTTGGTGAGTTTCACACGGTCAAAGCTGATGATCTGCCTCATCCAGGTCTCTCCAGAGCAGGGTGAGTCTGGGTGAACATAGAACCTGGGAGTGATGCATGAGTGGTCTGTATTCCCGGCTACCATCCACTGAGAGCTATGGTACACGTACCTGAAAATGTGCGGAGCATAGCTTTATATGCAGCCAGTCAAAGCTAGTACCGTAGGAGGGGGGTGGCCAAAATCTGGTCCTAAGGGACTCAGCCAAGGATTGCCAGCTAATCCCAAAGCAACTACATGTCATTAAAATGCAATGAAGTGCCTGGACAAGTATAATGTCATGAGATTTCAGAGTCTGGTTTGTATTTCCTCACAGAAACCGCAACAGGAATTGATCTAACCCGTAACCCGTTTTACCGCTCAGAGACGCCAGAAAAATCCTCCTGAAAATGCGCGGGAAAGAAACAGAGGGCTGAGGAGGGTGTCTGTCCAGCCCACCACCAGTCCTTCTCAAAGCCCTGTCACCAACAAGACTTCACATCATAATATCCCAAAGAACTCTGCCCCATGCGATCACCAGACTGGTTTTCACACTCAGCTGTGCGCAGCATTCCCAAGAAGGTTCAAATCGGAGAAGCAAATGGCTTGTTCTGCTATTTCTAGACTTCGTTTGGCTCCAGCACGCTCTTGAACTGTGTCTTCTCCTTGCCTCTCAAACCCAGGCCTGGGAGAGATGCCAGCTGTCTCCTAGAAAGCCTAGACACCCACTTTGGTCAAGTGCTCACAGCTCACAGCCTGAGTGCAGGTGTCTCTTACACAAATCTCATTGCCCTTAAGCCACAGCGCTTGAAGATCAGCACTTCTGGGCTACTAGCACAGAAGGGCCTCTTGGTTTTAGATCAGTTCGGCCACTTTTAGCCTGCTTTAGAGAGCTTACATCAAGAGGAAAGGTTTCTTGTACTCTCTGGGACCTGACCACTGCCTCAGGAGAGAGGCTAAGGAAGAAAAGATAGACAAATGCAATAACTGCTAGACTAGCTTTAGATGGCAAATCAGGGCTTTGCTCCAGGACCCTGCTGCTAAAGTAGCAGAACCTAGAGCTCAGTATGGACCCAGAAGTCCGGACATTTCTCTCCAAATTCCTTCAAACAGCTTTCCACCTAGCCACTTGAGTTTGTACCTTCTGCAGGTTGCATGGCCAAGGCTAGAACAGTGGGTATGTGAGGTTTGGGGGACACGGAAGCACCAGTTGGCACCTGCTTTGCAGGAGTAAGAGGAAAAATGTGGAAACCTGCTCTTTTCTCAATCTGAAACTCAGTTTGAGCAAGAAAGTTCAACTCCCAAAGCCTCGAGAAAGCAATCCCACTCCCCATGGAAGAGTTTTAAAATAGCACTCTCAGGTTCTGGAGATCAGAATCTCCATTTCCAACCTGGGCCTGGGGTATCCTCCTTTGGGCTAGTTACCTATAGCGTTTGGAATCTACCGGCACCACGTCGATGGCCACATGGTACTGCTTCCCTGGGTCCAGCCCTTTCACTTTGACTCGAACAGAAGGGAACATCCGCCTGTGAAAGAGAAAGTAGCGACTGACCTGGGAGCTTTAAGAGATATTTCAAAGGGAGCAGGGCTGGGGACAAATGAAAAGTGAAGGAATTCACAACACCCTTCCCAATAAAGACAGGTTTAGGAAATGCCATTTGCTACACCAAGGCAGACTGTTGGTTGTATACTTGATGATTGAACAAGTTCAGGATTTCTGATTAGAGTAGAATATCCTTACCACAAGGCTTTGTCCACCCCACGCCCCACTACCACCATAACAAAAAGCTGTAGAAGAAAAAGTAAGATAGAAAAAGCTGTGCCCCTCCTCCAAGTTTTCAGCTGTACTTTCTGTGAAGCAGATTTGTGAAAGACTGAAATTAGGAAGATTCACACACAAAAAATTATTCAGCTGTACCAAAGAAGTTGTCCCACAACAAAAGGTCAAAGCAGGAAAGGCTCACCTCAAACTGGCTTGGGCTAGAGAGGGTAGGCTGAATAGACTGCTAGATGGGATACTGTCCACTGATAACTGAGGTTTTAACAGAGAAGCCTGGCCATAAGTTAAGATGAGGGGGTGACATCTGGCACCTGTCTTGGTAGGTCTAATTTTTGTTGTATATCACGCAGGTAAGGGCTAGGAGAATGAATTCTTAGAGTCACAGTGTACAGGAAATAAATGCTGAGGCACTGACATGGGCCAGGCATGTTCTAGTCTTAGTCTAGTCAATTGAGAGGCAGTGACTTTTTGGGGTGTGGGATGGGGAGGGGGGATAGGTGCTAGAAAGGAAAACTGGAAGTGCCACATCTTTTGAGAGCGGTACATTAAGTGCCTACTGTAGGTGACCCTTGAATAGCTTGGGCAGAACCGAACCTGCCGGCCTTGGTAATAATCATCTCAGTCCCAATGTCATGGAATCTCTTCCAGAGCTCAGATCCTTGAAGCTCCACTTGGATAGCGTCTTCCTCTTCCAAACTTTCATTGCTGCTGCCGTCGCCGCCACAGCCTGAGAAAGCAGTTGCTGAGGGCTCTTTCTTGGAAAGCTTTTCTGCTGGATACAGAGACTCGGAGAGTTTGAGAGTTTCGCCATTCGCACGCCCCCTTCTCGCTGACGCTTGTCTCGGAGCAGACCCACCTTGTGACTTCCCCGGGGACTTTGACCGTGGATCCCCAAGTTTCCCACAACACCCACTGTAGCCCCCCTGAATGAGAGAAAGAGGCCCACATTGCACCCTGTGAAAGTCGCGGTCCTTCTTCAAATTTGTCCATCCTCACTATCTCGGAGACTTTCAGTTCCGGAGGCTGAATCCCCTCGGAATCTGAGTAAGTGCCCTGTTTCCTACCCCGAGAAACAGCCACCTTCTGGCTCTCAGGGCTTCGAGGAAGTTGAAGAGTCTCACTTCTCCACAAACATGTGGGGATCCTCCCCTTCACCATAAACGAACCGCAAAATTACGGGATGAACTTGGAGACTCTGAAACTTCCTCTACAGACAGGTGACTGAGGTGTGCCGGCGGCCCAGAAAGCGGTCATTCACCTGGGCCAGGACGTCCAAGGATAGGACTAGCCACCCTCCTGCAGCTTCCTAGACCAGGCTAGGACTTGCGGATCCAGCAAGCGCGGGTAGAAGGCTCAGGGCTTTGGGGTGCGATAGAGGTACTTACCCGGCTGCTCGCTCTTCTTCCTTGCGGCGCCGCTCCATCTCTCTTCCTCCTCCTCTCCGTCTTCTTTCTCCCGCAGCTCAGGCTGCGCTTTCTCTCGTGGGTCTTGCAGTTTTCTTTTGCTAGGTCTCCCCACCAAGGCTTCCACCGAGAAGGCGTGCGCCCGGGAGCTCAGAGCCATCCCTGGAGGGGGAGAAATGAATGTGCACCGCAAAGTTTCAACCTGAGCTGGGTTAGGGAGGGAGGGAAAGGGAGGGCGCAGAAGACAGGCGAAGGAGGGAAAGTGGTAAAATACCCAAATCAGAAAAGCAATTTCTGGATCAATATTCAAAGAAAAAAAAAATTGTGTGTGTGTGTGTACGTGCGCGCGCTCGTGTGTGTGTGTGTGTGTAATGTGCGTGTGTGTGTTTGTGTGTGTGTGTGTAGTGTGCGTGCGTGTGTGTGTGTGTGTGCGTGTGTGTGTGTAATGAAAGGAAAGGAAGATAGATCTGAAGTCAAAGTCCTTTGGAATTTAGTCCTCCTTCC